GTAGAGCCGGCAGGCTTGATGGCTTGAAGCACGCCTCGAAGCCTATCAGGTGTTCCTCGAAATCCTGTGAAAATACTACGACATCGTACAGGTGGACGAGGCATCTCTGCCATTTCAAACCTGCCTGCATGGCGTCCATGACACGCTTGAAGGTGACTGTGGTGTATAAAATCCGGAAGGCATCACTTTGAACTCGTAAATTTTGTAGGGTGTGACGAAGGCAGTTTTCTCGCGGGCGAGTTCGTCAACATCAATCTGGCAGTAGTGGCGACTGGCTGAGAGGTCCATCAACAAAAAAATATCGAGTGTGGCGCAGCCGGTCTAACGTATCGTCGACTGGGGGGAGCGGGTAGACGTCCTTCTTAGTCACAGCGTTCAGTCGACGATAATCTACTCAGAACTTCAGGGTTCCGCCATTCTTGTTTACAAGAACGACTGGAAACGCCCAGGGATTTTTTGAAGGTTCAGTTATGTCGTCGTCAAGCGTTCCATGACTTGATCTCGAATCGCCTCCCTTTCCTTCAAGGAGACTCGAAACGGCGAGAGTGGACTGGGAGTGGGGCTTCGTCAGTAAAAATGCGGTGCTTCGCTACCGTTGTTTGTCGCACCCTTGACGTTGTGGCGAAACACTCGCCAAACTTGAGCAGAAGGTCAAGCAGCCGTCCTCGTTCACTAGCTGGAAGCTTCAGGTCGATGTCCAGTTCCGAGGACGGCGTTTTCTTGTGCTATGGTAACGTTGTCTCTTCCGAGAGTGCAGCGATCGCGGCTGTGTTCCGGAGTTCGTCAATATAGCCGAAGGCGATACCTTTCCTAAAGTATATGTTGCGGTTTCGTCGGAAATTTTGTAAATACACCATGGCACGCCCGTCATGAAGTTCTGTGACTCCTTTCAAGACAGCGATTCCTCTTTCTAAAGGCAACTGGACGCTTCTCTCAAGTAGAACTTCGCGGCAGGTTGATTCATTGGTCCTGACGGGTGCGAAACCGCTTGACAGCGGCGGTAATTGTACGTTGTTTGCGTGGACTCGAACTACGAATGACGTCGCCTTGGGCTCCTTAGGCGGTGGGACAGGTGTTCTTAGCGTCAAACGGTTTGCTCCGAGATCAATGAGGGCGCCGTACTAACATAGAACGTCTATTTCGAGAACAATATACCTCGCGCAGTCTTGCAGAACAACGAATTTCACGGGGCAGGTCTCACCGTGGACTCAACTTATTCCGTGCACATTCCACTCGGCGTCGTTCGGCGGCCTCTGCCGTTTCGTATATGTGGTCCATCCCACGGCGGCGGCACTTCCCGAAGACGGCGCGAAAGCTTCCCACTCAAGACAGAGTAGCCTGCTGTCTGGCAGTGTCGCAGCGTCGTTGCAGTCGATAAGAAAGTTTATCTGTCTGGGTACTGTTGCAGAAACGTCGTTGCGATGAGTGGCGTCGAGAGAGTGAGAGCACCCCGGCGTTCTTCGAGGCTATTTACTTCGGTCGTTTTCAGCAGCGCCACCTCTAGGTATCGCCGCACCTAGTTTTCCCGTTGGCGCAGAGGAGATAGGCTCTCTCGGCGGGGTCATGGTGCTGGAGGCAATGAACGTTGTGGTGATGGAAAGCGGTATTCACGGCGGAGGAACGGCGCTGAGGATGGCGAGCGTCACAGGTACCCCTCAATGTCGAAAGGGTTTCCGCCATACCTGAGTCGTGCTTTGTGCGGGTAACCCACGCAGTCCAAGTCGTTTGTAGGGGTATACACGGTAGAGATGGTCGTCACCTCCGCAGTGGTAGCAGCGCGGGCGTCGGTCGGCCGTTCGCCACACGTCGGTCTTTCTCGGCGCAGGTGGTTCCGGGTGGGCTAACTGCGCGCGGTCGTCTTGTCGTCGAACATACTTTGGCGTCGGGGTGTCCCGTCGATGCGGCGCAGCGTACCGGCGGGTCACTACTGGTGGTCTCCTGGTCATTTTAGGCTTACGTTACCAACGTGCTTTCCTCAAGTGCTATTTTTGTTTTGAAGCGATGCTCTATTTGAAAGGCTCGCTATACTTCCTCTCCTATTACTTTATCGGTGAATAGTGCAGCCGTGTCATCGGCAGCAGACAGCAACTGCCTGAGCTCCTCCCTAGTGACGTCGCTGACCATATCTTGAATGCCCGGAGGACGGCCAGTGCCGACGTCGAGGCTAGCCGACGCGGGGGAAGTAACATTGTGCAGTCTCTGGCAGTCGGTACCTTGTGCTTGGAGAGCAGGCTCGATGTGTGTGACCTTCGTCACGAAAACCTCGAAAATCGCAGGCGGGTATAGCACGAGGTTACCAAAGATGGTTTCCTTTACCCTTGGGATGAAGTTCTGGAGCTTCTTCGCTTGCTGCACTTGGATATCCATGTTGTTGAATTGTCGAAGGGCGTCTTCGACAAAGCTAAGCGCGCTTTCGTTTGGTCCTTGAGTGCATGCCTTGAGCAGCCCTTCAGTGCGTTTCGAACGCTTCTGGCTCGTAAGGACGTCACGTACCTGCTCTTTGCACGTTTCCCATGAGCTGAGTGAAGCTTCGTGGTTTTCAAACCAGAAACGGGCAGTTTCATCCGGTGACAAATAGATGTTCTGGACACTCTTCTCCGATGCCCACTGGTTATACCGTGTTAGTAGTTCGTACTGTTTTATCCAGTCGTCCACGTTTTCGTAAACATCGCCTTGGAAGGGCGTTGGTGTACGAGTTGCGATGGGCAGGAACAGGACGGTAAATTCAGTATTGGGAGTCTAGGTCGGCTGGCCATGAGAAAACATCTCCGGGTGCGTCGACTTCTTTCTTGGTTTTTCCACCACTGCAACAAAATCCAGCGACTTCGTTGGGCCTTGTTTGGCTCCACAGAAGGAAGTTTTCCGTGGCTTGAAATCAACCTGGTCTGGCGGCTCTTCGGGGCTTACGAGGAAGGGGCATAGATTACCTCGTACCTCCACTAGAAATGAGGCGGCAGCAGCGAACGTCGAGGTGTCCGGGTGACAGCGTCACAGCTGGCTAGCACGAGAGTTTGTCGTCATCGAGATAGTGAGCCACCATGGTCGCGCTGGGCTCTTGATCTACTATCGTCGGAATGTGGGGCATTCGGCATAGAATCTTCGAGCCTCACGCTAGGGCGAGACTGACTCGGCGAAGCCGAGTTAGCCTACTTTTCTAATACACGTAATGTAAGAATAAATACGAATCCTCTTGAAGTACTGAGAAGCGTTCCCGCTCGTTCGTGCTCGCGGCAGTAGATCCGATTATTTATTCTGGTAACTATATGATCACTGCATATTCTAATAATTTAGTTATAGTCTTCTCCAATACAGTAATGTTCTACATTCTCAAGTCCAAAAGACGAAAGAGTGTGTGATTAACTTGACATTACAAATTCAACCTCAGTTGTAACATCAATGTAATATCAGCGCGTAAAAAATACTTTGTGTTAGTAAATGCACTAAAAAAAGCTTATATTTCCTCTGTGAAAATATCTGCGTTTGAGCTGGGTAGCATGCAGCACACACAATGTAATAACATAAACTTTCGCGTATGGATACAACGTATTCCTTTGCATATTCCAATTAAAATTCGAGTGTATATGATAAACAGTTCTCACTGACCTACATAACTATTCCACCACCATTTCTAACCATTCGGCAAAGTACTAGGCATGACGACCCTTTAGGGTGAACGTATGATAGGCTGTTTCTTTTAAATGTATTTTACTTAAAAGAAGCTCTGCTTGGGAAGCTATTTTTTGCACAACAGCAACATAATTTTACCCAAAAACCTTTTTAACCTTTCCACATTATCTATTCACCAGAATGATCTCCATAGGCACGTTTTGTGTAGTTATACATTCTTTGAATAAGTGGAACGATACTGTCCCGGGTACTTAATTTTATTTAAGTATCTTCTATCTTCAATGTGATTAACAGCGACCCCTTCTCTTGCGCAGTTGTTAGTGTTTTATAGCAAGGTCCTATTTCTATTTGAGTTCTCGTTAATGTACATGTCTTCATCTCCCAGAGTCACTCGCTTCTGAATTCAGAAGCTGCTTAGTCTCTTTTCTTTCAACCTCATCAACAAGGAAGCTGTATTGCCTTACTGTACCTGAGCATGTGTACTGCCTTAACTATTCCTTCTGCTGGTTCCGGAAGCCGCAGTTTTTTCGTTAAATTTTCCAGCTCCAGTATTTCCGCTGTAGATCATGGTGAAGCGCCGTCTAGATGTTGTGCTTCGAAACCTGTGTGTTCTTTAGAGGTCACTGTACCCAATAACGAAAGCGAGTCGAGAGACAGAAGGCGAATCTTAAGGAGGATGGTGGCACCACCCATGGAAGCAGCTTCTATGGGCAAGCTCATAACTGAGTTGATCCAATGACTTTGCTTCCAGCGTGCCTAGTGTATTCTGTAATCCTCTTTTACATTTGACCACACGGCCGGGGTACGGGTCAGGGAAACATGTTTTAATTGCATCAAGAGTTTTTACACAGACCCTGTTTAGTCTTCGTGTTTAACAAAACAACTTTAAATAAGATGTAAAAAATATAGCGAGTAATTTGCTTCCTAAATGTATTGGAGATAATTTTTTTTAATCATACACCAATTTAATTTCAAGTTGTTGGGGAAACGCTCCCAGTTGATGTATTAAATTTTCCAAACATTAAACTTTACAATGCCTTTAAACTCTACCTCAGTTTTATTATAAATATCAACCAACTTACCTTATTTTCTATCACTTCGCTTTGCGCCACGTGGTATCACCGCATTTATTCCTTTGTATGAAATGCTCCTGTGCTTTTAGAAAAATTAAAGCTCTAATCTTTTAATCCCGACAATCGCTGAAGCAGGATACAGTATACAGTGTCATTGAATAACACATTACAAAATTCAATTTCCCACACAGCCAAGACTTGGCGTTGGTTGTCGGGGATTACGTGGATTTGAAATCAACAGGTAGGACACTTTTAACTATCCACTCTAGGCGTTTTATATAATTAACAAAAAAGAACGAGGAAACTTAGGAGAGTAAGAACTGGAATCAAAGATATAGACAAAGAAACAGGAGGGCTATCGAAAGAGAAAATAAGAGTTCCTTGCTGCACTAGAATAAGGTAGCATATGATGTATGTTTTGGAAAAGCTTTTTCTCAACTAGGAACATTTACTAAGGATGTGACATCATCCAATATGTTGTCTTTACAGTAGTTCCCAAAGGCCAATTGGAAATTAATTCAACTATTTGTAGGCTAAATGTGTGCACTTGGCTTATAAAAAAAATGCACAACAGCTATAAATACTCACACTTTATATCTGCATTTTCTATTTATTTATTTATTCTCAAATGTGGTAACCGTTAAAGGGAGCTGTAGGTAAAACAAAGTAAGACAACAGAAACAATATGTAGAAAGAGCAGTAACAAAAGATGTAATATATGTATATATTACATCTTATGTAATTATAAGATGTATATTATCATAACCCGGGTATCAAAGGTGTCCTGCAAACAAAGACACTTTGGCAATTAGCTGCCAATTTGCGGTTTGTTTTACTGCTAAATTTACGAAAGACAGCACTTCAATTTGACTTTTAAAATACAAGCATTCTAACTGATTCATTGGGGAAGTTGTAATAGTGGTCGATCTTATTCTAAACCATGCAGGAAAAAGGGCCATTATTACTAAACATTAAAAAAATCTATGGGCTGTGTCGACATTAAAGGGATACTGAACCAAGGACTTTAGTGTCCATAATAAGTGGCGCACGTTCTTTCCACGAGCCAGCAGCCGCCGATGTGCGCGAGCACACGCAACAAAAATGACGTCAAAGGCCTCCATTCGCGGTTGAGGTGACAGTGAAATGTATGGGCTTTGGGCCAAAGGAGAATAAAGACAAGTTTTTCATCTACACAGTGGTGTCTGGCGTAAAAGGGAAGCGATTAATTGGTCTAACAAGCACGTAGCTTTCACTTGTAGAGATGAAAAGCCTGGCTTTATTCTCCTTTGGCCCGAAAGCCAATCATTTCACTGTCTTCTTAAGCGCCAATGGAAGTCGTTGACGTCATTTTTGCTGCGTGTGCTCGCGCACACCGGCGGCTGCTGGCTCCTGGAACGAACGTGCGCCACTTATTACGGGCACTAAATTCTTTGGTTCAGTGTCCCTTTAAATGCTCGCGTTTCCTGCAAACTTTACTTTTTTGTTGTGGTTGAGGGGGGGGGGGGGCTTTATAGGGATTGAAAGCGAAATTTAGGATTCAGGCGATAGTCACAACTTACGCAGTATTTTGCCGGGCTAACATACAGTTCCCTCAACAAGGAAATGCTGCACGTTTTTTTTTTTTTACAACTAAAACAGAAGTTTTAAGTGGCCACAAGAATTTCAGATTGTTCCTTACATGTTTGTAAAAAAAATCTCAACGTAGCCCTCTGGCGACAATTTGCCTGGATTACGTCATGATAAAGTTTGTTGCATTCAACGGCACAGGAAATTATAGAGGGTGATTTTTATTGTTGGCATTACAGAGAGTTTTTTTTTTGTTTTTGCTTTTTCAACCCTTGAATTTTAAATTGTTCTGGTTTGAGCAGGTGAGTTATGCGGCCAGGGGGAAGCAATTCATAACACAGTCATAATTATAAGTATATTATTTACCAGATTTTTCTTTATAAATTTTTAATTAACGAAGATAAACATGCAGCTCTAATTGGAAACTTGCTGAGCGCATTCAAAACAATCTGTAGTGCCTGGGAAGAGCGGTAAAACGCAAAACTCAGCCCTTGACTGGGGGAAGCAAAAACGTTCCCGGGCGGTTTACCCATCTCTTATCATACGCCTTCTTGCACCCCTAGCCTTGTCCCTATTTTACGACTGATAACCGCACTACGGCGCCTCACGCGATGTAAAAGCATTGATAACATTTACTGTTCTAGTTATTTCCAGTGATGACTACAAAGTTTCTAATTAAAACTTATGTTAATATTCACTAATTAAAAGCTTAATAAACAAATTTAAGTAATTATCTGGCTTATCGTGACATTCAGCCTCATATAATATGTACCCCTGACCGTAAAAATCAAAAGCCGAAACCGGATTATTGTAGCTTTCACGGGTTTTTAACAGAAACATTAAAGCCTAAGAAGCACCCAGTGTAAGAAATAAAAGCTTATACGTATACATATTTACCAAATATAATATGGGTATTATAAGTTAAAGCTCATTAGCGATAAACAATTTTGATTATGAGAGGAAACCCCAAAAGTACAAATATGAACATCAGTTTGTCAAAAGTACATTTTTTTAAAAATCCAATTTCGTTTTTCTTGTTTTGTACGAGTGCCCTTGGTATTGTCTAAACTATGCAATAAAAGTCACGATTTATGTATTGCTCCGAAATAAAAAAGCTGGGCATATTGAAGAGGCGATACATTTGAAGCTCTATTCCGAGAAGCATAGCTGGATATCGTACCCTATTTTCTACCTAATATATAAATAATTATTGGGACATTGTCAGAGCATTGGTTGGCTTCGATTAAACACAAGATTCAATGGAGTATATCTGAAGCGCACGTGACAGATTATGGGTAATATATGAGGGAGCTTAATACACGTCCGATTTGCAACATCAAAACTCAGGAAAATCAAAATCTTAAGCACACTTGTGAAAAACAGGAGCTTAGAGATATTTCCTGCAAACGTCCTATTTTGGGTGCTTGGGCCATTATGGCAAAAAATAATTACTTTGGATGTGCTGACTTCCTTAACCCAAAATTTCCCCTTTTTTTAACTGATGCTTTTCCATGCACACTCTGCCTAGCGAAAGGGTAGACTTGTATAAACCTTGGTATCTTCGCTTCTATTTTCAGAAGCAAATTAAAGCCTGCATACACCGTGGGAAGTAAACACAGTTAAATAAATTATCTGGTTACACATATTCCCGAGAACGTTCATTGTGATAAAAAAAAAAGTATCTTTAGAGGAATACTGAACCGAAATTTCGAGCTGACAAAGCAGAGCTAGAGAGATAGGCGGGACACTGCAGAACCCAAAAACACCACTCATACAGCGATAACTCTAACGGATGGCCGTATTTTCGCAAAAGAAATGTGGAACTGAACACGGCCGACGAGGCCGACGAGACATATGACGTCACGATTCTCATGCGCTCTTTCCTCGCTTCGTCCCTTCGAGCAAGTGAACCGAAGCAAGGAGGAGAGAGGAGATGCCGTTTCTCCTCATTCTCAAAAGTTCCAGGAGGATCCTGTTGTTATAGCCTTCGCTTGATTGTGCCCTTATCGAAAAATACGGCCATTTGTTTGAGATACCGATGTATAAATGAGGTTTGGTAGCTCGTGGCGCCCCGTTCAACGGTTGTGCGGCCTTTTTTTCCGAAATCCAGATTTCGCAATATTAAACGATGATACTAAACCTTTTGTTTTTTAAATGATATGTTTCTGACTCGGTGGGTACCCTGCAGACTGGTAAATGTTTATATAGTTGAATGAAGCTTATTATTTCGTGTAGAACGAATCGACGAAACCGAAACTGGCCTTCTGGATTGAAGTCACAAGACATCTCTTGAAAGGCAACTGACTCCAACTATGAACTGCCACTTCCGGTATAATTTAGTGATCATGAGCACGGTTGACCCAGTGAGCTGTAGCAGCGCTCTGTGAAGGCGGCCATATTCGCTATAGTTGACATTGGCCATCGCCTATTGCATTCCGAGCGGAGACGACGACATCGAGCTTGCAAACAAATTCGAGCTTCCGTTCAGTGACTTGACGCCCACATAATGTAGGATGCTTCTACCGGTTTGATACGCTGAGATTGCGCTCTACGAGGGCACCCCAAAATTCTCACAAGCCACTGACTCGCCAACTCAATGCGGCACTTTGAGTAACCCGCCATCGCCACTTCCACAACCTCCTAATGGCCGACTAACACTACGGACTGATTCCCGGGAAGATTGAGCAGGTGACGACATGCCTGTATATAGTCCGGCTTTCCGAAACATTTACACCAAACTTATTGGATTAACCGATATCTAGTAACGTCAATTTACACTAATGCCCGTGTCCCACTAGAGCGACAGACAGAGACAAAAGACAGCGCAAAGCCTCAAACCGATTCAGCATGCTCGCGATGGTACCTATGACAGGCGTTTAGTCGTTCGGTGCTCGTGAAGTAAGCACGAGCGATTGCAAGCCTGCCAAAGATACCCTCGCGTGCATGATGCTCGTGTTTGAGCATAGCCGCCTTTATTCTACGAAGCCTCTCAAATCGCGAAAGACTCTGGTTTGAGGCTTGTCGTTGTTTTCGTTTCTGTATGTCCCTCTAGTGGGACACGGGCATAATGAGGATACATGGAGACGACAGCGAGGACATATCGCCCCAATTCGAGACCGATCAGTGCCGCGAAACACCAACAGCGCCGTTGTCCAAGGGCCACAGAAAAATGTTCTGTTACCACCGCGACACTATCGTTTTATGCCAAAAATAAATCCTTGTGTGCCCTGTCATGCACCAAGTGAGATAGAACACCCTAATATGTGTACAGCGAAGCGACATTAGCTTTACTAACCCAAAACATGGCATAAGTATAATCCTGCTTGATGAGGCTCAACATAGGGTCGTTTGCCGATGTCCCCATCGCCAAACGATGGGGACATCGGCAACCACAAAAAAGGTGTCGCTGTTTGAAATGTTGGATGAATGGACAGATAAGGTCCCGGCGTGCGAGACAAGTTTTGAAAGAAGCTTCTTGATACAGGCCCATGGGAGCACCGAAACATGCAGTGCGTCAGCTGGGAATAGTTCCTGCAGCTTCCTTCACGCGTAAAACCAATAACCTCGCAACTTAACAAACAAAACACAATAATGCACCATTTTTGCCACGTCTTTGTCATTTTTGCTTCGCTTCTGAGAGCAATCTTGTATTGTTGCCACGCTAAACGCCTTTCAATGCCCGTTAAGTCCCATCGAATAGCGCTTGATCATTTCAGTTTGCCCCTCCACGGACAAAAATATTATTGTATTTTTGTTTCAGGGCATTTTTACGTCATATCGTAGAATGCTAGTCTAGGTCATATTTTTTTCTGTTTATGTAAAGATATATACATGAAATTCATATTGTTAAGAGGAGCCTTCTGCTATATTTGAATGCCGTCGATAATTACCTTCTAGATATAAAAAAATTTTAATTTTGCACGTAATAATATTTTTTTCTAATTATTTTATGACTGCTTTACAGCATTCATCATTGAATTACAGTAAAATATTTATATGCAAATATTTTACGTTAAGTAAACACGTTAAGAGACCTAAACACGTTAAAAGATAAAATAACGAAAATATATCGAAATGATAACTATGCATTTTACGAATATATAAATTAATATGCTTACGGAACATGACTTTTGTTATTATTATAGAAACGCAGCTCATTTTTCTAAATAAAGCAAGCTTGCACGAATATATTAAAAAAACAAAAAAACAAATCCATCTTATTTTGGAAAAAAACAGGATGCGCGCCGAGCTTTTGACATTGTAAAAGTTCGGCTATCGTGCCCACGCCGCGATTGCACACGAGCCACTATCCGAATGTTTGTCTGTCTATTGATTGTCGCGAGCTCAAATGGAGTCGCGCAATGCTGGGGTTCATTCTATGACCCTAAGTATAATGTAAATGGGTGTATGCCACCACCGCTACCTCCAAGCAACGCCATAAATTTACGACGGAAAGATGGACAAAAAAAAATGCTGGCTTTTATATTTAAAATTACACCGCAACAAAGAAGTTCATTGGTCACTGGCATTGCATGCGATAATACTTGCATCCGACTAGTGTGAGTGAGCTCGTGAAAGTGGAATACATTCTAACTGAATATAGTGGCACCGTCCCTTTAATAATCCTTTTTTTTAACGCATCTACGAGCATTTTTTTCTTCTTGAATGCAATCCCACTATCAAAAACTGGCGAAGACGAAAAAAAAAACAAAAAAAACTCGTTGAAGAATGACACTGGCATAGTGTTAGCCTGTTACGAGAATAAACATTATAATTAAACTTTTTTCTATTGGTTGCGTTGATCCATTCTGAATTCAGTCAACAAAAAATATTATAATAATTATAATACGGTTAGTTTCTATGCAAATCCTTCATAAGAACTCAAAGATACCGAATCAGTGGCAAGGTCGAGATACATTGTTACGTGCCTATTGCATGCAACAAGGAATCAGTGTCCTATTTTTATAATATATGGCATACTATCCCACTGTCTTAGGTCTTGCATACGTTGCGGGTGTGTGCTTGGAGACTAAAGTGGCACTTTTGGAAGACGATGGTTTTTCCCAATCAGGAGTTCATACCGCTGCTCATGAACTTGCTCACGTGTAAGTATAAACAAAATTTATATGTTGGTGCGAGACCTCCCAAAAGGATATATAATTATTGACCCCTCCATGACAAGAGGAGTGTGTGTTGAAATAACAAAAATTCTTTTAATTATATTTCTGCCAAAGAAATGATTGCTTCAGGCGCCGAGCAGGGCATCGCAGTAGCCCGTAATTTTATGTCAAACCATTTCGTTCCTGGCAGCCTTTCTCACAGGAGACACGGCAGTGTGGGACGACGCGCAGGCAAATAGCCACCTATCAGTATTGTCACGAGCTGAAATCAAGTACACGCGCATTGCTCGTGGTCGTTTAAATGTCATCTTAAAGACCTTTACATGTCATTTAAATGTTGTCATCGCAGGGAACGCAACGCTTGATATTGAGATCTTGAAAATCGCATTCTTTACAGCGTTAATGCAATCCCCACAACATCGTCATCAATATGTTCGAGAGAGAATGAAAGGCGTCTGTTTTTATCCTCGAAATTGCGTAACGACAAATACTTTTCGGTTAGTGACGTTGGGTCCGTGCGATTATAGTCTTCTTCGTTTACTTTCGTCCCCAGCCTCCTGGTGACATATCCGGTATGGGCGGCAAAAGAAATCAATAAAACATTTCAACCTCCAAATAATAAAAAAATAGTGGTGAGGCAAAACAAAAATGGATGACCGCTGTGCTTGTATCCGGCGTGTCAATCCGGGAATTCAACTCAATATGCTTCCCGCACAGGCGATCGTGGTCCGACGGGTCTGTTTCTTGTTCTTACCTTCCACGGCAACTATACATATCCACGTTCCCGGAAGAACTGAGCAGGCAGAAAACAGATGAAAACTAATCTTTAAACCTTTCCCGACTCTTTTGGCACGGCCCGTCCACGGCGTTTTGACGAGAAGGCAGGCTTTAGTACCCATTGTGATGTTAGCCTGAGACTGAGGCAGGAAAAGAGGAAGTTTCAAAGTAGAAGAAGAAGGAACAGTCGAGGATACGTCTCTTATTAGACGTATCCTCGACTGTTCCTTTTTCTTCTACTTTGAAACTTCCTCTTTTCCTGCCTCAGTCTCAGGCTAACATCACAATGGTTAATTTCCACCAGCTCGCCTGCGCACTCACTACAATAACAGGCTTTAGTACGTTTCTTTTAAAAAAGCACAGGACTGCCCTTCCCTCATGGCGACTTCCACCCGAAGCGCCCGACGCGCCACCACCACGGCGTGATCGTAACAGAGTTGCATTGGTCTATAATCAACAGTTCTCGACAAGGCTACGACGAAGTTTTAATTAAGGATTACGTCACACCCAAAACAACATAACACACTTGAGTCCTATTATTTCAATCTTGCCTACTTAAAAACACACACGTTTTTCTAATTTTAAAGCCACGTCACACATAGGAATAGAAGAAAAGCTTTTATTTCTGTGTTTTGTATGTTTCATGGTTAGGCGGGAACTAACAGAGTGTGACACTAAAACTATTTTGCGCGAAAAATCGGTGCTTTCCAAAGCTGCTTCCGTGCAGCTTTGCAAAGGAGCGATTTTTGCGCGTGTGATCTCTTCACCGCCTCTAAGAAGTTAGTGGTGAAGAAAAACGTAACAATATACACTGGCTCCTTCTCTTCTTTTTCTTATTTTACTACCCTAAGAAAACTGACGCGTTTACTTTTTGGCAGAACATGATGGCAGCGAATGAAAAACCTGGGAATACGACTATACCTGAAAAGGCAATTTCCGCAGGAACAGTGAGCAAAACACGTATTATTCGCATTGTCCCTGCATAAATAGTTTTTTTTTTTTTTTCATGTGTTATTATATTTTTAGCTCCGCAAATCACCTAGATCCTACCTTGTACCCAGGAACTGGCCATTTCTGAGTTCTGCCGTGAGGTCAACAAACAAGCCTATTCTAGAATCCAACTTCTATTAACTCGTGGCCTAATTCATTTGCATACCCAGAAAACGGCAGTTTCCGTTAGAACAAGGCTGATGCGTTGGACAACAAAAGCCCTAAACTTTACTGTTTGGAGGGAACAACGCAAAAAGGACGTAGGAAGAGGTTTGTTTGTTCTCTCCCCTTCCTCCTTTCTGTGTTTATTTCTCTTTCTTTAGAGCAATAAACTTTCATTTGTAAGTCAGCGCCCTGTCTGTGTGTTTCTTCGACCTCGTCCTACGTCCTTTTTGCGCTGTTCCCTCCAAACAGTATGTACCACCAACTAGCCCAACAACATGCCTTGCCTTAAACTTTACCTATGATATTTGAAGTTTATGCAGGAACAAATATTTATAAAGTGCGAATCATTTTCTGCACTTCATTCTCCTGAATTAGATTATCACACTAAGATTAGACAGATTTACCTTAGTAAACACGTTCCGTTAAAAAAAATAATAAGGGCAGAAATTGACGTAGCCCATTCGGAAAACCTTACTGCGGCCTGTGATCCGTCTTAAGCTTCGTGACGTCATCAACGGCATCTCCGAGTCAGCTGAAATTCCTCAAAGAATCACCTGACAGTAGGATTACGACAGTTTCACTAGTTCCTGTTTCTACGACCAGGGTAACATACCATCTACGAACGTTGTACTAATGATTAGGGTACATAGAAAATATACTTTTTTTGACCTGCAGGCTTGGTTGTCCACATGACGGGGAACCAGCGCCTCTCCGCCTGCCAAACTCTCCTGGGGCGGAATCATGTTCGGAGAGCGATGGCTTTTTAATGAGCTCAGAATTCACGGACATGACAAACAAAAATAGGTACCACCTATCGACATGCTGCCAAGCTATGATACGGTATGTTGCAGGGTAAGTAACATACGACGAAAAATAATCTTTGCATTGCTCTCAACCCTTTGAAGTAGAACAGCGTTATTCTATGTCATTATATCTGCATGAATGATATTATTACGCCGACATCGGGTAATTATATATATATTGAAAATATATGAGGTGAGATAGCAGTTGCAAGGATTACTTGAGAAATCAGTTTGTTCCCCCAACACACCCCTCAAGTCCAACACTACGGCAACTCCACTTCTTCCATCAAGTGCGCAAAAAATGTATGCTTGTTTCACACACAATATATATATATATATATATATATATATATATATATATATATATATATATATATATATACATAGGGTGTCACAAACAATTGGTGTTTTTTTCACCGTAAAAATAAACTAGGCATCGCCGAAGGCTCATTCTCCGCCCAAAGGTAGCGCTAGAGGTCACAACCAGACGCCAAAGTTTCAGCCCGATCCGATACCTTATTCAAAAGTTATAAGCGATTTTCTGAAACTTTCAATGGGAAAATGGAGCCCATTTTTGCCTATTTTCTATTTCTGGTGCCATAGAGCCCCACACTCTAAAAAAAGTTTGTGCGTCTACTTTCACGCACAACCCTCGGAGAGCCAATCATCGTAACTTACGGAGTCAGCTCAGCGAATGACGATGCCGAAACATATGTTTAGAACCAAAAATGCTGTCTGAGCTGGGACATTAAGCAATGCAAAACGTCACGCTTGCATTGCTTAGTGTCACAACTCAGATTGCGTTTTTTGGTCTAAACATATGTTTCGGCATCGTCATTCGCTGAGCTGCCTCCACAAGTTGCGGTGATTGGCTCTCCGAGTGTTTTGCGGGAATGCAGACGCACAGGCTTTTTTTAGAGTGCATGTATTCGAAAACTCCGCCAGTCGCCATTTTCTCATTGAACTTTTCCGAAAACAATTTATAACCTTTGATTAAAGTATCGGAACGGGCTGAAACTTTGGCATCTGGTTGTAACCTCTAGCGCTACCTTTGGGCGGAGAATGAGCGTTCGGCGATGCCTAGTTTATTTTTACGGTAAAGAGAACGTGTAATTTTTTTTTGTGTGTGACACCCTGTATGTATATATATATATATATATATATATATATATTGTTAAGAAAATCAAGACGGTTTAAAATCCCAGCGTTCGGCGTTCAACGGTCATCGCCATCCGTCCTTTTTCTCGCGCCTTCTTCCTGTCTTCCTTTTCGTCGTCTTCTCATTCGCAGCACCGCCACAACACTGCCCCCCGACAACACATGAACCTCGTCCCGAGGTGGTGCAAAAAAAATATTCAGTCAGGTTGATAGGGAACCAGCCGATCAAAATGAACTACGTGAACTTGCCGGCTTAGCAGGTGCCGAACCCGGTACACGACGTCGTTTAGTCGCTTGGCAACTTCGTAGGGGCTTTCCCAATTCGGCTGAAGTTTCGGGCAGCGACCTTTGGTGCGGCGTGGCTGGTGCAGCCACACTTTGTCTCCAGGTTGGAGTATGCGACCCGAGCAGCTTCGGTTGTAGCGGGTTTTTGCACTTTCACTGCTCAGGTGCAAATGTCTTCGTGCAAAATCGTGCACACAGTTCAGTTTCGTTCGCAGGTGGCGGGAGTAGTCAGAGTAAAGAACTCTGCGTGTTGTCTCACGCGATGGAAGTACTGGCGTGCCAAAAGTGATGTCCGCAGGCAGCCTTAGCTCCCGGCCCATTAACAACATCGCTGGCGTGTAGCTTGTCGCACTATGAACGGCTGACCGGTAGGAAAGTAGGAAGAATGGAATTAGAGTGTCCCAGTTGTCCTGGTGCTCGTCAACGAAGAGCGAAAGGTATTGCTTGAGTGAGCGGTTGAGCCTTTCTACCATGCCATTCGACTGAGGATGCAAGGGCGTGGTTCTCGTCTTCCTGAATCCGAGTGTCTCACACATGCTCTTGAACACTTGCCACTCAAAAGTCCGACCCTGATCAGAATGAATTTCCAGTGGTACCCCGTATCTTGGAACGATGTCTTCCGTCAAGATCCTGGTTACAGTGTCTGCGTCGTACGTTCGTACTGGAAATGCTTCTGGCCATTTGGTAAAGTAGTCAGCAATGACTATGACGTACCGATTTCCTTGTGTCGTTTTCGGTAGTGGACCTACAACATCAATGGCCACTCTTTCAAACGGGACACCGACGTTGTAGGTTACCATCCTCCCCCGGCTTCGTGATGGTGGTCCTTTACGCGACGCACAGTGGTCGCACTTTTTACACCATTCGCGCACATCTCGAGTTGATCCAACCCAATAGAACCTTTCTCGAACTCGTTGTAGGGTCTTGTATATCCCAAGATGTCCGCCAGCAGGGCTGTCATGAAGTTCATGCAAGACGGTGTCGACACGGACTTGAGGTAAAATGAGCTGAAGCGTGCTGTCTCTTCCGTCTTTGCTCTCCCAGCAACGATACAGCAATCCATCCTGTAGAATGAGGGAATCCCATTGTGCCCAGTATGCTTTCACGACGCTGTTGTATGGTGCAACCGCGTTCCAGCTGGGTACTTCTCCCACCCGCTTCCACTGCAAAATAGGTTGCAAATTACTGTCGTTTTCTTGAAGCACACGGAGAAAATCTGCAGTCCAGTTTGTCGGGTCTTGGTCATCTTGCTGGTGTTCTACCATCGCAGGGCACGTAGTCGTTTGGGAGGACGACAACGGTTGGCAGTCCAATGGAAGGCGCTGCTCGCTTTTCAGGCATGGGCGACAGTTGCCAGACAAGCAAGGTCGCCGCGAAAGTGCGTCGGCGTTTGCATGTCCCTTGCCGGGTCTATGCTCAATCCTGAACTCGTATTGTGCCAGCCGCTCTAACCACCTAGCTACTTGGCCTTCCGGGTTCTTGAAGTTTAAAAGCCAAGTGAGGGATGCATGATCAGTCCTTAAGAGGAACTTTGTGCCGTACAAGTAATGATGGAAATGGGTCACGGCTTTTACAACTGCCAAGAGTTCCCTTCTCGTAACGCAGTAGTTCTGTTCTGCCCTGTTTAGAACTTTGCTATAGTACGCAATTACTTTTTCGGAGCCATCCTGAATCTGGGACAACACAGCACCCAAACCGACGTTACTCGCGTCGGTATCGAGGACGAACTTGCAGTCTGGTCGAGGAAATCCAAGAACTGGAGGGGCGCTAAGGGAATTCTTGAGTGTGAGGAAAGAATCTTGTGCGTGTACACTCCATTCGAACGCCGTATTCTGTTCTGATAAAGCGTACAGCGGTTTGGCAATTGTGGCGAAACCTTTTACAAATCGCCGGTGGTAGGTGCACAGTCCATGGAAGCTTTTAACGTCGCGCTGATTTTGAGGTCGAGGCCAGTTTCTGACGCACTCTGTCTTCTCAGGGTCCCTCTCCATTCCTTTTTCAGAGACGATGTGACCGGGATAATGCACTCTCTTTTGAAATAGAACGCATTTCTTGGCATTTAGCTTCAAGTTTGCCTTTCTCAGACGGTCAAATACGAATGACAAATTACAAAGTGCTCCCTGGAAAGTTTTGCCGGGCACAAGTATATTGTCCAGATAAACCAAGCAAACATCGAGCGGCAGGCCCTTTAGGACCTGGTCCATGAGACGCTCAAACGTTGCAGGGGCATTACAAAGGCCAAATGGCATTACTTTGAATTGCCACAGACCATCTCCAGTAGAGAATGCCGTCTTCTCGCGGTCTCTTGGGTCTATTTCAACTTGCCAGTATCCGCTCCTGAGGTCTAATGTGGAAAACCAGGAAGACCCCGCAATCGCGTCGAATGTGTCATCAATCCTAGGGAGTGGATAGGAGTCCTTCTTGGTCACATCGTTCAATCGTCGGTAGTCAACGCAGAACCTCGTGCTGCCATCTTTCTTCTTTACCAAGACGACCGGCGACACCCACGGGCTCGATGAAGGCTCAATAACATCTTGTTGCATATCTTGGATCATCTGGCCGACTTCGTTACGTTTTGCCAACGAAATTCGCCGGGGCTGTTGCTTAATCGGAGCTGCATTTCCTGTATCGATGCGGTGTTGAGCAGCGCCTGTCCGTCCGGTCTCCAAAGAAGAAGCAAACACATCTCTGTATTCGTTGAGTAAACTCAGGAGATGTGCTTGTTGTGCTTGATCAAGGTGGCATTTGGAGCGGTCTGCTAGATCCAGCAAGGAAGCCGGCAATTCCTCTTGTGTCATATGGACAAGATCCTTTCGTGGGGGAGTAAAGCTCACAGCACGGGACCACTTCGCAATGCGACACCCCTTCTTTAGGTGGATAGGTTTATCCGTTAGGTTGGCAATGCGGATAGGAACCTTTTCATTGCCGAAATCTATTAGCGTTCTTGCTATAATGATTCCTGGAACAGTATCGCACGTGGCGTCTCCTTCAGCGACCGCAATACCATCCGAGCAGTTATTGCCGTCCCTCACCCAGGCAACGTTTTCGCTTTGTGGAGAAATCAAAGTGGACTTGGAGCATAGAAGGAATCCCCCGCCGTTTCCTAAAATTGCTCGTTGGCTGTACAAGATGACGTGTTCGTCACTTACGTCCAATGTGTGACTCTTGAGATCCAGTGAACAGCCATTCGCCTGTAGAAAATCGAGTCCAAGGGTGCATTCCTCAAATATTCTAGCCACAAAGGCAACTTGCACAAACTTTTGCGTGCCAAAAAGAAATGTAAGTTCACATGACGCCGTGATTGGCGCTGTTTCTCCTGTGGCAGTGCGCAGTGAGCACCCAGAAAGGCGTTTGTATGATGTTACGGGTGTCTTTATTCGTTCATATACATCAGTTCTTACGATTGTGGCGTTGGCTCCGGTGTCAACAAGCATCTTACATGGTACGCCTTGTATTTCCCCATCCACAAAAAGCCCGTCTTTGTCAGCTCGTAACTTTTGAACTTGCAGCGTTGGGACCGGCTCTTTCTTTTCTTTCTTAGCCGAGATTTGGCCGGTAAGCTCGGCTGGAATTAGTTTTCCGGACTGGAATAGCCCTTTTCTCCTTTACTACGCCAGCTGCAATATCTCTGGATGTGGCCTTTTTGGCCACAGCGCCAGCATGTTGGAGGTGGCCTCTGATGAGGTGGCATCCCTGTTGCCTCGTGAGAAGTTTGCCGATCCGTGTTGAGAAGCGGCACTGGATGTAAAGCAGACGACGTGCCTGGCTGATAACTACCTGGCACTGTGACCCGCCGGGTGGCTCTTACTGCCCTCGTCGTTGCCTCCACCTCCATAGCTCGTGCAACAGCGTCACGCATGCAGGCAGGTGACGACAGGCGGACAAACTGTTGTACTTCAGTGTCTCCGATTGCGTCTAAAAAGTGTCCCACAGCCACAGAGTCCAGTGTCGCAGTTGTGCAGCCTTGATACGAGAGTCGCGTAAGCCTCTCGATGTCAATGGCCAGTTCAGACAACGATTCGTTTCGTCCTTGTATCCGCGTTCGGAGAGTGGCGTGGTAGAGCCGCCCGAGGTGCTTCTCACCGAAGCTCCCTTCGAGTGCTTCTTCAAGCGCCTTGTAGTCCCGCTGGTTGCCAGGAGGAAGGTTCTGAAGCAGCTCCAAAGCTGGTCCTCGGAGTCTAGATGCCAGGAACGCTCCTCGCGAAGCGGTAGTCCAATCGTTTAAGTCTGCGACGAGATCAAAATGCACTTGAAAGGCATTCCAGGGGCTGCGTCCATCATAGGTGTCGAGCTTGACAATCATCTTCTGCGAAGCCAAAGCCAGCTGTTCGTTAGCATCCCCCGAAGGTAGTATCTGCTGTCTGTTATCCTTTTCGGTTTCTGCTGGGGCATGCAAGGAGAGATCTGCCGCGCTAGCAGTGCCGCCTTCGCTCGTACCGTCAGTAGTCTCGCCGGACCGCGATGGTGGGTGCAGCGCTCCTCGAGGTCCCGTGGATTGGCGTGACGACCCGGTGCCAGGATGATGCTGGAGTTGCGCGGAAACCTCCTGACGTAGCTCTGCTAAAGCTTGCCGGTCTTCGCCTCGGTGACGATTCTGCTCCTCTCGCAAGCTGGCCAACGAAGCTTGTAGCGCGCCGATCGCTCTCATCACCAGGTCAGGCTGAGAGGTGTTGGGATCTTCCATAACCCCACTTCTGACACCAATTGTTAAGAAAATCAAGACGGTTTAAAATCCCAGCGTTCGGCGTTCAACGTTCATCGCCATCCGTCCTTTTTCTCGCGCCTTCTTCCTGTCTTCCTTTTCGTCGTCTTCTCATTCGCAGCACCGCCACAACAATATATATATATATATATATATATGTATATATATATATATATATCTTTTTTTTCTACATTTTTTGCTTTGTGATTTGTTCCTCGGCGTGCTTATCGACCAATCCGCCATCTCATCTGCTGTAGAGCAATACTAATCTGTTCAGAGCATGCCACGCCGTGTTTTTTTTTTTAGTTGGTAGTGGACACGCTTGACGGATGGCTTGACACCGATCACCCACCTCAGCGTCTTGACTTTGTATCTTCTCCAACTCGTATATTGCGCCTTCACACACAGCCACTACTGCAACAGCGGTGCGCTACAAACTGTACTCATCGTCAAAACAGTAAAGTTCTTTAAAAACATATTTCAGTCACATTTTTAATGCGACACAGAAAACAGATAAAAGCCACCTCTTCCTGAACCACTTCCACAAAAGCCACACAGAAGCAAACAAGAGCACAATAAAGTGCACGGGCACTTTCTTGTGCTCCTTCGCACCTACAAGGGGGGACACGCAAAAACCCAATTTGTTTGATTCATGCCACCTAGGTGGTTTTAAAGTTATACCAACCAAGTATAGCATTTGGGTACATATCAATCTGATAAATGTTTCTCATAGCAAATAATAAATATTTGTCAATTTAGCTTGGAATTATAGTAAACATTGCCGTCTCGAGAGGCACGTACCAACTGTGTTTTCTGACTCAAAACCACAACTGCACTTAAACTGCCTGTTTATATTGCCTATACTCCAATTAGAGAAACCGAATATGACTGCTTGAGAACAAGAAAGTTCCAAAAGCATCTACAAACAAGTAGGCTACCTGGCAGTTTTACGACTCCAAACGAAACTTGTGAAATGAAACTTCAAGCCCACAATCATGCTGGTGGATTTCATGAAGATAAGGTAACAACAGCATCTTATATATAATATACACATATTTCTTTTCGACGAGCGCTGCATGACTAGACATCAAAATCGAATTTCGTAACGCTTCTTATTTGAGCGCGTCCAAAACTGAATAAACAGGGAACGAGATCTTTATATATCCTCAAATGGTTATCTCTAATTAGGTTCGTAAATCGAGATATCACCATATCCTACTTAAAATAGCGCCTTATAATTGGTTGAAGCTTCGAAAACGTAATATGAAAATAATATTGAAAACATAATTTGTTCCTACGTAAATTGCGTGAGAATAAAGTTTTAGGAAAGCTAAACTTAACTAAAACGCATAATAATCTAGATTAACAAATGACAAATCTTGTCGTTCAGCAGTATTCTGTATTATTGTTCTACAGTAGCATAAAAATATATAACCATAAAATAAATCAGGCATACATATTATACTATCAAAGAGGTATTTATGTAGTTAGAAATATATTCAAACCTTTGACTTTAGAATTGTGAACTTTTACAAATGTAATAAAAAGGGTAACTTTTAAGTTCATCTTAAGGTGCAACCCCACTATGCATGCCTTTTTTTTCTGAAGGTTTATATTTTTCTTTCTGTCTAAGCTACAGTCATAAAGTTAACGTGAAATTAAACAGCGGCCTTTTGAACGACTGTACTCTCTATATTGCGTTCTTTCTAATACTTGTTAGTTTATCATTTAGCTTTAAATAGACCACAGTCTCTGATATTGAACTTTTTTTTTTCGCGAGTTATGAAGTCCCAACGTCCAGGATTATTTACGTCAACGGCCAGTTTGATATAATTTTTAAGAAAAGTAAGCAAAAAACTGTGCCGAGAATGAATAACTTAAAACAAGAAATAAAACTTCGATTTATGTTAGTTCCACGTCAACTACTGTAAATAACGAGACAATAAATTATGGTTTATCTTTCAATATAAAATTTTCCAAAAACGGCCTAAAGATGGCGACGCGTGTTCAAGAATAGCTTGATTTGAAATTGCCGTCATGTGCCGCTTCGAACGCTACGTGAGAGACAGAAACGGAGCAAGATATTTGGGTGTCAGGTGCCTGGGTGCCCGCAGTGAGCGAGCCAAAAAATGTTATGACAAAAGCAGCTCTGGACAGTTATTCCAGAAAGATGAGAGTGATCACCAGCGGCCCCTGAATAGGAGGTGCTATGACATTCAATTGAAATGATTTTCACTTTGTTCGAGTTTACTGGCGCTTGTGGAACACAAGTATACTCGCATACAACGCCACACATAAAATAACTTCTTTGTGGTGGTTCAACAATATTGTAATACCCACTCCCCTCTCTAATGCGTCAAGGCCTTGAGTGTATTGCAAATAAATAAATTATTAATAATTAATTAACAATAAAGGCGGGCATTTTCTTTCGATCTATTTTTCGCAAACTTTGATGACGCAGCTTGTAGGTTGGCACAGTCCTCCGAGAGACGATATTGCAATGCGTTTTACGAATCGGAACCCAGCATTCCGTGAGAACTTGATTTGAGTTCGTGATTATCAATAGCTTGAAGAAGTGGCTCGTGCTCAATCTCTTCAAAATATTAGCCGTGCCGTATTAGTCTCTGGAACTCAGCTCGTGTCCTGCGCCCTGCCTAACCCCGTGGCTATGATAAACAATGCTGACATGCAATCGGCCCCAGATCACGTGGCCGCATGTTCTGGCTGCCAGTTGAGGTGGGTGAACGTTGCCCGTTGTATTTTAATTTTTTTTTCTGTAACACTCTCACTATGCTGAAAGAAAACCTATCGTGTGATTCATTCAGGTTCTTGAAACTTAAGGGGGCACTCAAGTGGTTTTTGGGGAAGCTACTTTTTGCTGCGATGGCGTTAAGGAAGTGTCAGTGAATGAGTATCTTAAATTTTAGAAGGCAGAACCTCCTATTAATCACGCAGTAATAAAATACGTGCGGACTCTTTTCTGTTGCTGCCCCGACCAATGAAATTATCGTATGTTTGAAAATTTTGGCGGCCTTTGTAAAGTTTCACTAAAGAAACAATTTTCACTTTATTTAGATATGTTGTGCATGCTAATTTCACGAGACGTAAAATAGTTCTAGTTTAGAATACGCGATGCTGGAATCATCGTTTCACAAACAAGGGACTACGTTTTCTCCTTGCCTTCCTCCCCGGGGTGTGAATTTCCCATTCCCTCGGGATGCGCGGAAGCGCGCGTGTCATGAACTCTTTCCCTCCGGGTTTTCGGAAAGTGCGTTCGTCTCTCCCCGACCTTCCGAGGCGAAAGTCAACGTGGCGACATCGTTTGACATCACGTACCAGAGGTTATGCTGCGATGCCAAAAGATTGTTTGGTTCCAATTTGCCCCAACCGTAGATCGAAGAACGCCCGAAAAGGTCTGCGTTTCGTCGTCCTTCCGAAAGATGAACCTCGGAGAAGCACGTGGTTACGTCGCGCCGGCCGCCAAGACGACACACATAACTTGCCTGCCCATGACGCCCCATTTTTTTCACGACCAGTTCGACCAAAGGGAGTTCTGGGCGGAGGACACGGGTCGTTCACAGCTTCGATGGAACTTGGTGCCGACGCTTCTGCTTCCAGCGCTGCTATCGTCCACATCGCACGTCGGAGTGGCGTCACAGGAAATCATTCCTAGTTCGACTGTCCGCCGAAGAATGCCAATCTCTAACGGCGTCAGGTCCTCGAGCGTAGAGAACTCCGCCATGATCGAAGCGATCGAAGCTCGAGTGACCAAGAGGTTCGGCCAGTGCGGCGGGTGCGGCTATCTCGGGATCGCTGCGCGACGCAGCGTCGTCCAACGCCATTGGCCCGAGATCATTTTGATATGCGAGCGGTGACCAATGAGAGTGGTATTGCTTTCAGATGGATCCGAGGTTTGGCGGGCTTCAATTACATTTTTATTAAAGAAATAATCACCGCACGACTATATTTTTTGGTTTTTAGCGATACTTAGGGCGTCTAAATTCAGTTGTCATCATCAAAACACGAACTCAAAAACCACTTGAGTACCCCTTTAAGGTATTCATTTTAAGCGGCATTTGCGCAAAGTACGAAAATCACTGCACGCCACTGACAAACTCAGTATCAACATTTTTTTTTTGCAACAAATTTAAACTGATTTTTGGGCAACGCCCTAAACATATTCAGCACGGAAACAGCGTATTGCACAAAATAAATATATTTATAAAGCGGCCGACTCGAAACTTTGCCAAAAAGTATGACGTAGATGGCGAAATTGTGCTACCTTGCTTTTTTGGAGCACTTTAACCAAGAAGTGACGTTTAACTTTCTCACTTTCGCTGTTTATTGATCACGGCAATTACAAGCGCTCACGTCTGCCAACCGGGAAATCAGTACCTACTTTGCTGTACGCTTTTAACGGGACATTTCTTCGCGTACTGACAATGCATCAGTTTTTAGTCTGATTTGTTTTTTTTTTTTTTTTTTGCTGCGTTTTGATTTGTGGGTCACACACGCGGTTTAGAAAAGTAAAGCGCAAAAGTGGCGAGTTGCAAACTTTGGTGAGCTGCGCGAAGGATAAACCAAACATTTTGTCTCTACGAAACCGAAATAAACAACTCGTCAAAGCCTTTGCCGACTTTCCCGCCTGCCTCATCCTTCTTAATGTCCTAAGCACCGACGCCGAGCGCCGTCATGGTGAAAGTAAAAAGAAACAAAATCCAGGAGCCGACCGATGTGTCATACTAACACTTTCGGGCTCTGAGTTTTTTACATTTCGAAGTCAGCGGCATACTGTGCCCACAATTGTCGTAAACAACATTTGTATTATTATTTTATACAGGCATACAACACGGAGCGTCTCGAAGTTTGCGAAATATACCTTTTTTTTTGTGTGTTTGCCTTGTAGGGGGCAGAGATAAAGGCGTGGTGCCTGACAAAGCCTCTGTCCCCTAAAGTCCAGCAGCTCAAAGTAGTTACATAATAAAAGATTCTACAAAACATTATACAGTTAAAATAAATCAAGAAAAACAAGTCAAAGAAACAAGAAGAATAGACACTATATTCATTTGCTAAAAAAAACTCTATAAACGAGTGGTTGTCGTAAGAAACCAAAAACAGTAACAACAAACAGTAACAACAAAAAAACTAGAATGCAATAATGCAATCTTGTGTTCCTCCGACATACCAACATCACAAGCAAGTTCACATGAAGGAATACAATGAAAACAAATCTTTGAAATTAGCTATACCTAGTGATTGTATTCTTGGTGAAATACACTATCCAAATGAGAATGCGATTTCACTGCCAACCAGGAAACTTCTACAATCCCTTTTAAAACCAGGTAACGTGTTGTTAAAGTTAATGTTGAAGTTCGTTCTGTTTAGAGTTTTAGTTGTTCGAAAAATGAAAGTTTGTTGACATAGTTGGTTCTTATGGCCGGCATCCTTCGCTTCGGATTTCTAATAGGATATGCACTGAGGCTGTTCGCTGGGGTGGTGTAAAGTCTATTTTTATGTATCCATAGTAAATGTGTGAAGTAATATATTTGATCTGCCTTAAGAATATTATATTTGATGAAGAGTGGTTGTGTTCTTAAATTTCTGGGCATCCCCTTTATAATTTTCACACATTCGTAAGATTTTTTCTTCTTTTATTTTGCAAAAGGATAATTTTATTATAATTCGCCGCCGTTGTCGTTCCCCAGACCAGAATACCATAACAAATTTTGGAGTAGAATAAGGAATAATACAATGTGTGTTTTAACCAGGTCGGTATCAAATTTTGTATTCTATAAATGCCTCCTGTTACCCGGGATAAATCAGCCTTTATTTTGTTTACATGGCAATTCCGTGATAGATCCTCAGCAAACCAGACGCCCAAAAATTTTGTTCTGCTACCTGCTCCAATGTTATGCCCTCGTATATTACGCTAATGGAACTATAGTCTTGCTTATTTACTGGTTTAAAAATGATATACTTAGTTTTTTGCATTTAATTGTAGACGATTTATTTGCAACCATATTGATAATTTCGAAAGTTATTCATTAGCCAATTTCTCGACGCACTTTTTCGTCGCACCAGCAAAGAATATATTTGTGTCGTCTGCATACATTATTAGTTCAGGGGAACCTGGTATTGTCGTAATGTCATTAATGTACACGAGGAATAATAGAGGGCCTAAAATGGAGCCTTGAGGAACACCATGTCGTATTTTCAATTCATTAGATGAATGGTCATTTATAGATACATATTGTTAACGATTTGAAAGATACGTTTTTATTATTCTTAGCGCAACTCCTCCTCCACCGTAGATTTCAAGTTTTTTCAATAGAATATTGCGCTGCACAGTATCAAACGCTTTTTGTAAGTTCAAAAAAACTCCAAGAGTCAATATTTTTTTTTTGAATATTTTTGAACAATTTTATTCTTCATATCAATTAGTGCTTGTTCCGCAGACCTATTTTTTCTGAAAACCATATTGAGCCTGCGTTATTGTTTGGTGCTTCTGAAAGAAACTCGTTAGCCTGTCATTGATAATGCGGTCAAAACTTTTTTAAAAATACTGGACGAACCGAGATCGACCTATAATTATTAATATTTTCCTCTCCTCCTCCCTTATACACAGGGGTTACTTTGGCTATTTTTAATTCTTCGGGAAAATCACCAGACTCTAGCATCATATTTATTATATGGGACAAAATGGGACTTATAATGTCCGCGGTCTGCTTTATAGGTAAAGATTTTATTCCATGATCTTCAGCGCCAACATCAAGTTTTAAGTTTCTAATCAATCTTTGCACTTCATTTGACGTAGTTGGAATTAGCATGATAGACTGCATCTGATTCATCTTGGACACACTGTTATCTGCGCTGACACTCTTCCCCATGTACGTGCCTACGTCAATAAAATGCCAATGCATTTCGTCTGCTAGTTCTTTTCTAGATACATTTCTATTGTCTATTAAGATTTCCTTCAAGCTGTATCCTGTTGACCTTCTATTGGTTAAATCATTTACGGTATCCGATACCTTTCTACTATCATTGTGATGATGCAGAAACTTGTTTTGATAATAATCGCACTTTGCGCTCTTCAGATAGGTGTTCAGTTGGTTTCGAAACCTTTTGAATTCAGTTAAAAAAGAGGGATCCCGACTTATGATGAAAGCATGATACTTGCGGTTTTTTCTTTTATACTTTTTATACAGGTCGCCAGATACCCACGGTTTTCTTATTTTCTTCCTTCTTTTTATCTCTCTCAAGGGAAACGCAGCATCATAATTCTGGCTAAATTTAGTCTCAAAGATTTTATAGGCATGGTCCGTCTCACGTTCTTCGTAGACGTCATCCCAACTTCCTTGTTCTATAAGGCAGCGAAAAGTTTGTATTGAGTTGGCATTTATTGGGCGGTGCCAAAACGTTTGTTTTTCGTTGTTGTGCTCCCCAGTTAAATAAGACCCAAAGCAGAAGATGGGAAAATGGTCACTAAGGTCGTATAATATAGCGCCAGCTGTAATATGACCACTTTCTAGGTTTGTAATGCAGACGTCAAGAGATGTAGCAGTGCTGTAGTCACCCTGGTTGGCAATGTTATCACATTGCCACAGGCATACTGATGGATGATGTCGCGTAATTCTCTCGCATGACGGTCACCTGAAAGCATGTTTATGTTCACATCTCCGAGGATAATGAATGACACAGATAACGACCCGAGGATGCATAGTGCGTTTTCAAGAAATTGCATGAGTTCAAACATATTGCCGGAAGGTGGTCCGTACAAGGCAGCAACTACTGTATTAGACGTTCTATTGAATAAGCTTTCGACATTTTCATCCATTCTTGTTAGGTCGTTCATAACTTGAGACTGTAGGTTATTTTTGGGACAAATGGCTATGCCACCGCCCCTTTTTTCATCTCTGCTCAGATGTTCGCATTTATAACCCTGCAGGTACGGTGGTGTGCCTTCTTTAGATAACCAGGTTTCAGTGAGTACTAGGGCTTCAAATTTCGCACTCAATGAGTGTAAAAATATTTCTAGGTCATCCACCTTATTTTTTATGCTTCTTGTATTTAAGTGTATAGATTTAAATTGTCTTTCACCTTTTCCATATTATTTTATTAAATACCTTCGCCAACCACGTCAAAGAAAAAGGAAGAAGAGAAAATCCGATTCATCTGACCTTTCACGGGCTGCTCTGCATGCTAAATGTGTTTTTACTTATGCAATTGTTTCAGGGTTATATTGCGCGTTTTTGTTTTTTGGAGTGCTGGAGAAAATAGAAAGTTTTAGTAGATCGTAAGCCGCGGAAAGCAGGCCCAGTGGGTGGCTGCTCAATTCATGCTTCGAAGTGATGACACGAGCTGCCACTTGCAAAACGTGGCTCTAAGTCTCTAAAATACTCCAAAACAGAAGTAGATATATTAGGGTCGTCAATGGCCCTTTAACGTTCATTGCGAATAGAGATTTCACAATGCAGCGGTGCACTGCGAGTTATTATCCACACCAGTAAGGGTGAATATTCAGTACTACTGGGTGTTTCAAGGAGAGGCCAGGCTCTTTAAATCGACCGCGTAATTCGGTTTCTTAACCTATCGCGCTACAACTTTGTGCAGCGTTGCCTACAGGTGGTGCATTTTTTTTTTGTAAAATCTGCAAAAAGCGAGCTTACCTGAGGAAAAAGTAAAGAAAGAAGAAGGCTTAGCTCCTATGGAAACGGAGCGAAGCCACCGGTCTTCAAACAATACGGCGCCGTTTTGCACAGGAGACAAGAGAGGGTGCAAGCTGTCGCGACGCCAACTGCCACCAACGAACGAGTATACGACGCCGAGAGCCGGCGTCTTTAACAGACGATATTGTTCGACTCAAAAACGGCGCGCGTTCCGCAGGCGGCGACAGTTGCAGAACCAAAAACAGGCGCGGTAACAAAAAGGAACTGCAAAGCAGACGACATCAGTACCCCGAAAAAAACAGTCAAAATATCCCGACAAACCATTTTCTTACTCCATTATGTGTCCATTCAATGTGTTTTATTAGTAAGCATGATAAAATAATGCATTGGTAACTGATATCAGAAAAGCTCGGGCCGCTTTTGAGTCGAAAAGATCGTCTGCTAAAGACGCCGGCTCTCGGCGCCGTATACTCGTTCGTTGGTGGCAGATGGCGTCGCGACCGCTTGCGCCCTCTCTCGTCTTCCGTGCGAAACGGCTCCGTATTGTTTGAAGACAGGTGGCTTCGCTGCGTTTCCATAGGAGCTAAGCTTTTTAGAGCGCAGCTCTTAGGGGCCCGTTCCCGGCTTGAGCGGCGTCGGCGTCGGCGTCGGCGTCGGCGTCGCCGTCGGCGTCGGCGTAACCGCGACCCTCGTAGCCCTCGTGAGGGTTACGAGGGTTACGAGGGTTAATCTCATGGGGGTTACCCTCACGAGGATCACGAGGGCCACGAGGGTTACTTACCCTCGAAACCCTCACGAGGGTTACGAGGGTTAGTTACCCTCAAAAGGGTTACCTTCACGAGGGTTACCCTCACGAGGGTTACTAACCCTCGTAACCCTCGTGAGGGTTACGAGGGTTAGTTACCCTCAAAAGGGTTACCTTCACGAGGGTTACCCTCACGAGGGTTACTTACCCTCGTAACCCTCACGAGGGTTACGAGGGTTAGTTACCCTCAAAAGGGTTACCTTCACGAGGGTTACCCTCACGAGGGTCACGAGGGTTATGAGAGTTACCCTCACGAGGGTCACGAGAGTTACCCTCACGAGGATCACGAGAGTTGCCCTCACGAAGGTTACTAGGGTTACCCTCACGAGGGTCACGATGGTTACCCAGGTCACGTGACCCCCCGTTGACGTCATAGCCACTGATGACGTCATCAGTGACGTCACTGATGACGTCACCGGCATCCGCATCGTCATCGTCATCATCGCTGACGACGTCATCAGTGACGTCACTGATGACGTCACCGGCATCCGCATCATCATCATCACTGATGGCGTCATCAGTGACGTCACTGATGACGTCATCGGCATCGTCACGTGGCCCCAGGTCACGTGACCCCCCGACGTCACGTGACGCCCCAAGGTCACGTGACTCACACAAGGCCACGTGACTCCCACAAGGTCACGTGACCCCCCGCCCCCCGAGGTCACTTGACCCACCCCCCCAGTACCCTTCCCTCCTCCTCCTCAAGAGCTGCGCTCTAATTCGGCGTTACAGGGAGTTGTAAACGGCTTTCATTTTTTTTTCTTTCTTTACTTTTCTTGAGGTGAATTCGCTCTTTGCAATTTTTAAGAAAAACAAATCCACCATATGTGGGCAACACTGCATAAAGTCGTAGCGCAATAGGTTAAGAAACCGAATTTAGCGGTCGATTTTAAGAGCCTGGTGTCTCCTTGAAACATCCAGTAGATACATGGGGTCTGCGGGGCTAGTTTTCTCGCCCTTAATCTCCTAACGAGGTGCAATAACAAGCTCAGTAACCATTCCCCAACCAAGCTTGTGATATCCGTGATTTATAACGATATATTTGAAGTTGGACACCTATTCTAGGACACGTCAAGACAACAGTACACTATATTTCTTGCAGGATGGCATGTTGGAGCAGTGTCTTCTATATTGCAAAACGATTCCTGATCAGAATGGCGATGTTTGGAATGTGAATGTCACAGCAGAGGATGGGACACCTTGCAGCAACGGAAAGGTGGGCTTAAACTTCACTTCTTATGACGGAAGTAAAAATAAACACCCAACAAATTAAAAATTAACTTGCACTTCATGACCTTCTATGAAGAAATTTTTCTCATACTCTTATTATTTCAGCCCCCGAAGATCTGCATAGCTGAACAATGCGTTGTTCGGAAAAAAAATTAAAAAAAAAAAAAACGAAACATAACCTGCCGGGTGACTCAAATGAAAAAAACTTGAGGTGAAACGCCCCACGCAAAACACGTTTTGTTTCCCAAGAAAATAAAACAATAAAAGTGATTTAACTATTCGAGTCAAGGCATCATTAATTGTGAGCACAATAAAGCCGTTAAAAAGAGCATTGTTTCAAACTTTGTGGTTAGTAATCAGCGAAGCTCTGATTATCATTTATTCACCAAGCTTAAATTGATAATTACTGGGTATTTATGCTCGCCGAAATTTTTATTTAAACATGACCTATAATAGCCCAACTACAAAGAACACATTTTGCGGCTCGAAATTCGTTTTCTTTCCGCCCGAAAACACCCGGTCGAAGGTTGACCGGTTTCAGCAGCGCTCACTCTCTTTTCCACGATAAAGTGGCGTTCAAAGAGTATCAATGATATTCAAAGTCGTGGGTCATCAAAGGCATACATTCACTATGAAAACTGAAGATAATATTAACCTCAATTCTGTAGCCTCATTAAACTGCACATACGTTAATGAAAAAAATGCTGCAGAGATCTGGGCAAGTACATGTAGTATGTCATTCTTAGCATGGCGATGTACCGCGGGCTTGACGACGCGATGGCAGACCACGACGGACCAATGTTGCGACGGGCGTGGGAACTGAAATTCATGCCACCGGCCAATCGATCTTCCAGCGCCAAATTGTGTTGCTTTTGTGTTTAGACAGCCTTGAAGTTGGTGTGCCTCAACGGGTGACCTTTCGCTCAGCCGTAAACTAAAAATTTAGCCAGAGCAGTACAACTGCTAACCTGGGGTTTTTAACGTGCACAACGTAGTAGAGATTATAGAAAGGCGTTCCGGTACGGAGCTCATTCAGATCGAACGGGCAGGGGGTGGGTCTCCAAGCTCAGAACATCGAGCTTGAAGGCCCACCGGAACATCGAGCAGAAGAGATATAAGTGCGAAACAAACGCACGACAAACGGTGCACGCAACTTCGTCGCCGTCATCGTCTGGTCTGCACACCGTGGAAGCGTAGAAAAAAAAATACACGGTCGGGTGTAGCTACGTTACTTCCGGAATCTCTCTCCTCTACATTCCTCCCTCTTTCTCGGTGCACATTGTCCACATGTCGTGGCCACGAGCTTCCGTGCTCATGTTTCGGTTTCGGCTTTGAGCGGTTGAGTGTTTTGGCTTTATTAAAATTATACGTGACTGTAGCAAAATATTGATCAGTGGTCTCTGACACCATATTAAGTCGACGTGCAAACAATTAAAACAATTTTTTTTTAGCGACGGGGGGGAGGTTAGTGTTTTTTTAAGCTCCGCTTCTATAATTTTGTCTCGCTTTATCTCCCTGTAGCATATATTTAGGATAAGGGAACCAGCCGAGATAGCACGGCCATGAAGTTGAATATTTAGCCGGGACGGGGGAGAGGGGACTCCAGTGGTTTCGCGTAGTGCAAACAAGACGTCTGGGTTGCCAGAGCAACCTCCAGTGGAGCTGGTCGCCTCTGCTCTACCTGCGTGGAGCGTAAGGGACGGCGTGTTACGGGATCAGGAATATTTGGTTTAATTTTCAAGGTAGTTTTACCTTCTTTTCATTTTTTCTTGTCCAACAGGACCAGGAAAAGCGCGTGGTGGGAATAACTGCTGTTTGCTAAGTGTGCGTCGTTAGTGTAAAAATTTGTGGGATAATTAGTCTGTGAAATTGAAACAGCAACTGCATTGAAACAGCAACTTCACAAGTTGCTGTTTCAATGCTGTGCTGCAAAGCAGGACCAAGCGTGGAAGCTGACACACGTGAGAGAATTAGGCACAAAGTCTCAAACCCTCCTGTGCTGATAATCACACTTCACCTCCTTAAGAAGCCTAATGCATATGTTCAAACCTTACAACTATATGTGCTTTGTTTTCCGCCCTTGACTACCGCGGTTCAAGAAGTTATACGCCTTGCAGCCCCCAACAAGTTCTTGGACGGAAAAAACCCTTAAATATTTCACTGTCCGGTGTATTGACAAGGCAGTGTTGTACGTGTTCCTCAAAAAAAAAGGAAAGCGTACGACACTTCAGGTCGATTCGCCAGGTCGACCCGTCTCGGAGAATGACATGACGCACTGATTCCAAAACTCGTAGTCATTTATTCACTGTCATCGTCCGCGCCTTGATTTTTAGAGCCCTCGCGATTCCGCTGCTCCGCGTGGCCATTTGTACTTGGCCCCCTCGCGGTGAAAATGACTATGGACGATTTGGAATGCGAGCCACCTGGTCCAACGCTTTGGGTTCCTATGCTGCCCGCACATTTCTCCGCTCCAAAACAACAAAACAAAAAAAAAACAAAAAAATAGAGGTCGTCCCCGGAGGTGTTGGCTTAGCTCTCCTCCTAGATCAGCAAGAGTCTCCGCAGATGGCCGAGCGCCGGTCCAACGTCAGTACTTCGGGACGGTACCGATGCGGTTGTGGTAATTCTGATGATAGGAGGTGCATCGCCGCCGCTACGTCTCTGATATATTAAAAGATATTAAAACATAATGTAGCCATAGCGTGGCAGGAATAAGTTGCCGAGCCCGAGAATGACGTCTGCCTTGCTTGAGTAGTGCAGAAGTTTCGCCTGGGAGAAGGTGCAATAAGCCGCTGGAAGCGAAAGTGGAAGGAACTGCCGCGTTTTCATAAACGGGTTAGTTATAATTAATAAGTTATGCATTCTCTCTGACCTTCATACGTCATTCCGTTTGTCGGGCTGATGGTTAGCGCTTCCTTGGACTAACCCAGATTACAACCCCCTTTCAGTGGATGCTTCTTTTTAGTTTCTTACTTAAATATAACCAAAATTACTTTCCCGGTTGTCTTACAGATTGAGGATATTGGAAGTGATCGTACTATGGGTGCTAATGCCATTTTGTAAATGTTTCAAGCACTCCGTGAAGTTAAACATGGAAGGGGGGCGAACGCTTCGATATCCTTAATTATCTTATCATCATTTACCGTACTTTTCTCGGGAAAATTGCAATTCGCCCCGAAATATATTTTATCTTTGCTTGTTTCTTTACAAAGCACATGTTTCCCTGTTTGCGCAAATGCCACCTACTTGTTTTCTAATTTCTTTACGCAGATGTCACAAAATGTCAAGGCAAGATCACAAAGGTTTAATTTCTAATCGCTGTAATTGCACGGATCCGCTTAGTGTTCCTGAATTAAAAAATCTGTCTAAAATAAACTTTATAAAGCCCCGTGTTCCTATGTGTACCCCATAAAATCATTGGTTACAACTGGCCTGGTAGACTTCTGAGGTGCTTAAAAGCAGATTTTCCTTATGGGCCACAAAATCAACATATCAAATAACCGAGACCTGCAGTTTTATTGAACGAGTTATGGTGTGTACGAAACAAAATAAAGTATCTTGAACATATTAGTCAAATATATTTGTTGCTTTTGTGTTTATTTTTCAATTTCGCAAAAGATAAAACAACAGATGTTTTCATTTTTTTTAATAATAAAATTCGAGCGTTCCGTCATTTGCTCACAAAATTAGAAAATAAAATGTGCAAAACGTTAGGAGAAAGTTCTACAGTTAGAAAAACAAAACAAAAACGTTTCCTGATTCCCTTCGCAGTTTAACATGACTTTCTATTCAAAGTGGTAACCCGCGTTTTGTACAAGCGATTCGTACCTTTAAGAGTTACGCAGCGAAAAACCACACTGTTGAGTAAAGGTCAGCTAGCCGTTTAAATAGCTTTATTGCAGAAGTCACGAAAAACAATGTCAACGCGACGAAACACGTATGTCACGTAAAGTTTGAAGGTGACGAGGTAAAGTTATGAGCCAAGTGGGATATGCTCTTTGTTTACGACGTGCTGATAAGAGCGAAATGTACCTTATGCGAGATTGACATTTTTGAACGTTTGGTGCCCCTTCTAAATACTGACCGTTGTATAAGGTAGCACGTTTTTCGTTCACTGACTCATATTGTACCATAATTTAGATTTTGAAGAAGTGTTTTTTTTTACGTCATCATCTGAAGTCTAGTTATGGCTGCTCGATATGTCATGAAGTCACCTCGACTGTGATGAGATGCGCCAAAACAGTTCCTTATTTAGCATAGCAAGATTTGTTGCAAGATGTAGCATTATGGGAAAACACTTTGCCACTTCGAAACCGAACTCCTAAAATGTATTGCTCAATAAAAGCTTTATGGCCCAAAAGCAGCTACAGCTATAATGGACGAGGTGGAATTCTCTCCCGATTCTTATAGGAAATGACAACCTATGTCTTATCTTATGGCAGCGATATTATCGGGGCCGTCCAACAACTGGACTATTTTGTAGCCCAATGTATTCTACCTAAAAAAACAAGCTTGTATAAATATTTATACAGGTTTACCCGTGTGATTCATACGATGATATGACCATACAGGGTGCTGTATCTAAATTGGTTCCCCGTGTACATACGGGACCTGTATCCAAAGAGTAGATGTATGCATGTATTTCCTGTTTACACACAATACCTGTATGCATGCAGTTTTTCCCCTATGCACTCAGGACCCTACACGGAAACAGGTTTGCCTGTTTAAGATAGCTAATTCAAGCATGATAAACAGGCCATTCACAACTGAAAGAAAAAAGAGAAACGTACCGACGAAAACAAAAGCGACGAAACTAAAAACAAGAAAATACTAAAAACTTACTTTTACTATATTTCTATTAATGTATCAAAAAGGTACACCACATCAAATTTTATCTCTCATGTTTCCTCCGTGTTGATCAAGGGGAGAGCGCCACCTTTAGAGCGCACGCCACACGACGTCGGCAGATGCGTCTCAGGATACGTTTCCGTCGTTTTCAGAAGCGCATCAGGTAAGGATCAGGTTTTGTTGCAGAACATGTTGTGTTTTCTGGTTTAGTGGCGAGTGCTTGAGCTTGCTTATTGCGAATATGCAGTCCTCATAACAAGTCAGAGTACAAGACTAAAGAGGGGCCGATATGGTAGAAGAGGTGTTCC